ACCCGAAATAATTACACGGAAACTGTATTCATTTTAAACACTGCTTGGCCCATTAGTTTCAGCCTCTTATTGGCTAACTCTCACATCTTGATTAACCCATTTCTAATAATCTGTGTAGCACCACGAGGTGGTGGCTTACCAGGAAGGATCTTAACCTGCGTCCATCTTGGAGAGGAGAGCTATAGGGTCTGCCTCATTGCCTTCTTCCCAGCATTCTGTTCTGTCTACTCCACCCAGCTATGCTCTGACCTATCACGCCAAGCAGTTTCTTTATTAATTAACCAATGAGAGCAACAGAAATACAGAAGACCCACCTACATCACCTGGGCTACATAAGACGCTGTCTCAAAAATAAATATTTATAGCCAGTACATTCTCCATTTCTCATGAGTGACCACACCTGATAGTTTCTGGTGTGGAGAAGGACTTCCCACCTTCTCCTCTATCATCCGTTTTTCACTTCCTTTCCCTCAGCTTCCAAGGTTCAGAACCAGGCTGATACCTAAAACTCCATCCTTGGGCTTCACTCAAGGATGTCTGGGCACAAGTGTTGTCATTTTCCGAGAAATCTACTCCCAGGACATGAGAGCACTGAGTCCCATAAGACACTGTGTGTTCTACACACCCTTTTCACCTCCACAATGGAGACAGTAAAGCAGTTCTCTCAGTGTTTGGTGCCCAGCCTCCAGTAGCTCTGGCTCTTCTGCCCTCTTTGGCTGTGGTTGCAGAGATGCGCCAGGATCAACACAGTCCTGCCTGCTTTCATTCTGTTTACTGCTGACAGTGAACACAGAATGCTCACCTAGGAGGCAAGCTGTGTGAGAGTGAGACCTTTGTCTCTGCTGCCCTTGCCTGGTGCACTGGCACCGAGAAGGTACTCGGTGAACACTGTCAGCCTGCTTAGGATTTAGCTGTCATTATTCTGGGCTCCGGTCTTGGTGAAAGTCCTCCCTGATCATCCCAGATCCTTAACCTGAGAGCAAGACCTGTCTTCAGGTGACATGGGCAAACAAATGAGCATAGACATCAAGTCTAGCATTCTAGTCTGTCTAGGATTATTTACTGGACGGTTCTGGAAAAGCAAGCCTGTTTCCAGCCTCCTGGCGCCTGCCACTCTCTGCCATAGTCTTCTGTTTGAAGACCTATTTAGATTCCAAACCTACACACTCAACAGATGCCTCCAGCCATCTTATGCCACATGAGCTCTGGGAGGCAGGGTAGGAGAGGATACACATAGCATTTCTTGGTGGCCAGGGTTCCCTGTGGCCAGGACTCCACGTAGGCATCCGGGGGAGCGAGGCCTCTACTCTTCACCCAGTGTTTGTTATTCTATGTCATAGCCTTATCATAAACATTATCCTAGTGTGGGCCACTGAGGCTCCTTGCAAGGGAGGTTTGTTGTTCTAAGGTGGCCCGGAGTAGAATGCCCAAAGGCCTGGGGAATTCTGGGAGCTGGAGAGGGAAGCAGAAGCCAGGGTGGTACTTCATTCTAAAGCTTGTGCCTCTGTCACCCTGGCGTGAAGGTCAGTGGCTTGTCTGCCTCCTCCATGAGTTCCATGTGCTTAGAAACCACGACATATTTCTCCATCAAACTCAAGTCCCTGCTGAGAAGCTGCTGAAAGCCTTTGTTTGATAAAGGAAGGAAGGGAAGGGGCAGGGAAAAGGGGGCGGGGTTATAGCTTTCCTTTGCTAGTTGGAAGCCCCAAGAAGGCTCACAAAAGAGGACACAGTGCCTAAAGGCCTGCTTGTAGTAAGCCAGTGATCTGGAATTCTACCTCCGCCCTTTTCTTTGAGCTTGTCATTGCTTGGCTTCTGTTGTGCCCCATCTCTACATCCCTACTGTCCCTCCTCTCCTCGACAGAGCAGAGGGAGGCCCTGTGGGCACTGACCAGGGACAGAACGTGTGCCAACTGGTCCATCTCACATCTCTCCAGCCTTTTCACCTTGGGATGGTATTTAATGTCTCTTTGCTGTGGGATTTTTTTCACCTTAATTTCACCTGGGAGCTGCAGTAAAGATTAAACAGTGAATCCACTTAGGAAGTTTATGTCGCATGGTAAGGGCTCAATAAAACCAGGGGTCCCAGTATGAATGGATGATGACTCCGCCATGAGTTACAAGGAGTAGGTATGGAGCAGGAAGTGGGGAGCACATGATTCAGGGTCAGCACCTTCTTTGTAGTGATTTCTGAGTGTCTTATGTCTGTGACATTGGGGTTCAGCGGCGAACAAAAGGACAGAGGGCCAAATCAATTCCACAGGACACGTGCCTCTGGAGTGGCCTCTGCACAGGGAGCCTGTGGGAGATAGCAGATCCCACCAGAATATAGTTAATGTCACAAGCCAGCTGAGACATGCAGGGAACCCCAAAACTCTCAAATGGCCTGGTGGGCCTTAGCTTCCTGTCTGCAGCACCCCAACAGCAAGCACCCCTGGCTGCTTTACAGTGATCAGAGAAACAGTGGGTATGGATGGCTATGCCAGTAGACAGCAGAAGGTCCTGCATCATCAGCCTTGTGACCCAAAGCTGGGAGTCAGGACCCTTGGGTGGAACCCCTTCTGCCCAACTCCCTGTATGAACTCATGCACATCCCATCCTACCTGCCTGGGATGCTGTTCCCTCTCTTCCTTTGCATTAGGAATGTACAATATGAGATCAGGGATCCTCAAACTGGGCTCCAGGGTTCCTGTAGAAATCCCTGCAGCAAGAGGCCATCCCCCATCCCAGCTTCCCTCATATCAGCCAGGACTTTATTAGTTTTATCTGTTCCATGTTCAAGACTCCAAGTAAGATTCCTTTGGAGAAAGACAACAACAGTAACAACAACAAAAGAATTCTACAACTAAAAGTAGTCTGAAACCTCCGCACCAGATGAATTCTCAGGACCCTATCTCCCAGCACCTAGCTGGGAAGATTTGGCGCGCTTTCCTCCTAAGTTTTATGTAACGAACGTAACATACTCAGCACTCATTTCTTGCCAGGACTATGCTTAACACCCGGCAGCCGGGAATATACTTAATCCCCTGAAATATTTCCCAGCTTCATGAAGGCCTCACCATTGCAGACCTGACTTCTTGAGTCAAGCAGGGTCCAGGGAAGGTTTACCCTCCAGCCAGGTCTCCAGGTGCCCAGGCAGATGACCTCACCCCAGGGCACTGCCTGATCTAAGAAGCAGCAGCACAGGTGTGTGCAGCAGCTGGGTGTGGCCACAGGAAGTCCCTCTGTCTAGGGTCCTCAGAGTAGGAGAGTGAATCAGCTCAACACGAACGCTTTCATCAGAGGCGTACACCCTGCGGGAGGAGGTGCTTAGTGCCTTAGCATTGTCCACAGCAGAAAACGTCACTGCCTCCTGTAATTCATCCGCAGCCACCACGCTGCCGTCGACACTCTGCACCAGATGGCTGCAGGTCTGATTTCAGTGGTAGTAGCCAAAGCCCAGGGGCCTGGAGAAGGCCCAGACATGGAGCATCGGGGCCTCACCTCCATCCCTCTCATTAAAGGGCACAGTAGGGGCTACCACAGTCTGTGCAATCTAATTCTCCTGCCATTAGCAAACACAGAAGGAACACACGCACGACCCTATGGCCTGTGTCACCATGTTGACCTGGCCCTGTACACCTATCTCAAAAGCTTTTTATTCAGATTAGATGTCTTGGTGGGAATGTCCGCTAGTCTTCTAGATGTTTTTCTTAAGTGCTTATAAAGCACCTTTAACTGTGAAGGAAACAGCAGGTCCCCAGGTCCTAACGAGAAATAGAGATCACACTACCCTCTCTTCCCCGGGCACAGTGCTGAGAGCTGCAGATTCGAGAGCCAGGAAGATACACTCCTGACTTCAGGAAACTCAACCTACTGTAAGACTGGCAGCTAAACACAATAAGAAGCTAATGTGCATGCGCTGGTGGAAGGAAGCGTGGGCTGTCAGTCATCTGTCACTGAGATCATGCTGTCTAACGATAGCATGCAGAGCGCAGGTAGCCAGTACCAGTTGTTGGGAGGCTCCACCCATCTTGCTGGCCTCTCCTGTCTAGAAATTGGCTGCCTGTCCGCTGATCTGAGTGTCACTGGCTGTGTAAGTCTTGCTCTGTGTATCTGTCAATCAGAGTGGAGTCGAAGGCAAAGAGTATACGAAGAGGGGACGGCCACAGCACCCAGGTGCTTTTCAGGCCTTTCTGTGTAATGTTTACTGCCATTATCCCATTGGCTGAAGCAGGTCTGGCATCAGAATGGGTGGGATCGACAAAGTCCTTTGGTTAGAGTCTGGGATACCAGACCTTTTGATAGAGACTCCAGCTCAAGTCATGTAGGTAAAGTGCCTTCCATGCCCTGGGCCTCAGTTTCCCCAATTTTAGATGGCCCGGTGTGGTGGTCTGCGCCTATAATGCCAACACTTGGGGGGAAAGTGAGTTCAAGACAGCTGAGGCTACATACGAGGACCTGTCTCAAGTAAACAAAATAAAAATAAGGCTGAAGAAGGTTGTCTTTCAGGGCCTGTGCCTAAGACCCCAGTGCACTGTGGGAGCCATGAGCTTCAAAATGTGCCTGAGGGCCTGGAAAACCTTCTGATTCCAGGAGAGAAGCAACTTCTGTATAGTGTTCCAAGTGACCCTAATGCCTGGAAACTGCATCCCTGGAGCCAGCAGCCCAGAGCAGAGGAGGCAGAGGGTGCATCTGCTAAACACATGCGAAGGTGGGCTCCAAGGATCCTGCTCCGAGACCTCTGGGCCTGGACACAGAACCAGGCTTTGTTTTCTACTGTTCATTGCCTTGACTAAATGTAGGGGTGCTCTTGGTAATAAAATGGGTTGCTTGTTTTAGAATACTGCTAAGCAAAGTAGAACAAAGGAGACAAGAGGAAGACTCGCCCAAAATTCAGAGAGTTCGCCGTGTCACGTACCATTTCATGCCGATAGCCCCAAAGTCCAGAGGGTAGAGGGCCCCTCCCAGACGCCAGCCTGTCCTTGAGACCATCCCTGACGCCCTTCTCTTCTCTCGGCCAGGTGCTGTTCGCCCTGAACCAGACTCTGCTGCAGCATGAGAGTGTGCGGGCTGGGAGCCTGCAGGCGCCCTACACCACGGAGGACCTCATCAAACACTACAACTGCGGGGACCTCAACGCCGTCATTTTCAACCATGACACATCCCAGGTGAGACCCTCCTCTCGGCCTGCCCTGATGACCACTGCGTCACCAGCGGGAAAGACCTGGAGCTAGGCCCCCGTGATCCCACCTGGCATTTATCAGACGCCTACTGTCTAGTGGGCAAAGACCAGCTTCTCTCCAGCAATGATAAAGAGAAATGACTGTCATCTCCTTTAGAGAGGGGAAACTATGGCTCAGAGAAGACAGTGCTTACTTGTTCAAGGCTGTGTGGCTTTTTGGCTGTTAAATCATCAAGAACAGCAACTTGAACCAGAAGGCCCACAGAAGGGAAAGGCTAGTTAGTTTGAGTTTGGCCTCGAGTCTGTTTCAGGACCCTCTGCTTTGATACAAATCCTAGAGCCAAAATTACAGGAAGGCTAACAAGACCCTGGGTAGGGCCCTAAAGGGTTGAGTTTGGCTTGACCTTGCCCAGACTTTGCCATGCCTCCTCATTGATCTCCAGCAAATTCCAAGACACTCCATCCAGCACTCAAGGATCCACTTAAGACCTCTCTGTGGTCTTGTCACAGCCCATCCCCCACACCAGGCCTTTGGGATTTACAGCTTATCCATAGTACTTCTGAGTACTCTGAGCCTTTGTCCAGGCTCATTCTCCCCTGAATCCCTCCAACTTGATCATGATTCAATGTTGCCTGCTCTCAGAAACCTCCCCAGCCTCCCAGATGGAATCAGGTATCTCCCCAGATACCACACAGTTTCCCCCATGGTTTCCTTTGCTGTGGTATTTGGATATTCATCCACTCAGAAATCTTGGATTAGGCAAAGGAGGCCATGTCCGTGTTCTGGTTCCTTTCTGCTATCCCAGTTTCCCAGGGTAAAAGCCGGTCTCTGCAGTAGTCTGTGTACTCCTGCTGTTCTGCCCCTGCTCCTGACCCCATCCCCTATATACACCCCAGCAACACAGTCTGCCCTGTCATCTCAAGAACACGCCTACATGGTTCTGCCTTTTCGCTGGCTCTATTCCCTCAGCATAGGTGCTTCTCCCGCACCATCATAATGGACTCCCTCTCCATCTTCAGGCATCACCGGCACCACAAGACCAGCCCCATTACCCTGTCTGAACTGTAGCCTGAGCCTGACTCCCCCTCAAAAGAAAATACACTAGCTGTCATTACCTTTTCTATACCTCATTTTCCTCCCACGATCATACACGCAATCCTTTCACTAGTGACTCCTTACCGACGAGTCCTTCCCGCTGGAACACAAGCTCCATGAAGGCAGGATTTGGGTCTGTCATTAATTCATTTATCCCCTCTGGTGAGAGAAGTCCCCAACCTGAAGTTGGACTCTGTAAATATTTGCCAAATAAATGAAATAGCTTGTAAATGTGGTAACACGGCACACACAGGGATGTGGTGGGGAGCCAGGGAGGACAACTCTCATGGGACTTACCCCCTCACAAGGAGCCTGGGAGACTCAGGAAATCATTGTCTCATGTAGGGACCCTTGCACTGGGGACAGAAGAGGTACAGATACGGTTCATGGCAAGACTCTCTCATTTAGATGTGGCTGCAGCTGGGACTGGGGCAATTAGAAAAGATTCCTATAAAGTAAAAGGTCACAGAAGAACCTACACTAGCCATAGACAAAGAAGGAATGTTCCAGCATTGAGCACAGTGTGCAAGTAAACCAGAGACCCGGGGGAGGAGGAGTGGGGAGAGTTCTGGTTGGAGGCCGGCCAGGCTAGGGCCACAATGTTCTGTCTGTGCTTGCCACCCAACCCCCAGACACAGGCTCCCTGAGGGCAGGGATGAGCTGCTCATCCCTTGGTCCCCACTGCTCTGGAGAGACCCCTTGGCGCCTGGCACAGTGTGTTTGCCAGTGAGTGACTGTCACGCATAACACTGTAGGTACATCATGTACTTAGGGAAGCTTAGAGAATGGAAGGAGGAGCCCAGCCCTTACTGTGGGAAACTCCAGGTCTGAGGACTCTAGTCTCCTGGTGGAGCAGGAAGGGGAGGAGCCTGACACCATGAACTGATGGGACTCTCACCCTCTTCTGGTGAGCCTTGCTCTGAATCTATTAATGGCCTCGTTTGGTGGGCGGAGGGTGACTCCACAGCAAAGGGTCTTGGTTGTAAGTTGGATAACTGGCTGTGAAGCCGCTGGCCTGAGGAAGAAGGGGTGGACAAGACAAGGCCTGTGGCTAACTCTTAGTCAGGAGAAAGAGGCATGGGATGAGCTTGGGGGATGGTCAGTTCAGATTTCCTTTGAATCTCTGCTGATCTCTGATGGCTGCAGCCATGTCCCCCAGCAGAGCAAGTGGTCTGCCCAGAGCTGAATCATAACCCAGGCTGCATATGGGGTACACAGGAAACCTGTCCTAAGGAGGAGAAAATCCAGGGTCACAAGGCTGAACCCTGCCATTGCACATCTCACGATGTGGGGCCACAGCTACAGTCGGAGGCCTCTCAGCCTCAAGGTCTGGGGATCTAGAGATTTAGGGCTCATCCCGCTGAGCAGTCAGGGAGGCTCCAGGGTAATCATAAAGTAGGAACTAAGCTTGTTAGTAGAGCTTCCTAGGTGAGAATGACAGCCAAGAGGAAAGACTGGTGGATGTCTCCAGAGGGTGTGGTTTGCATAGAAAAGAACAAGTGTAGTTGGGAATGCAGCTAAGGAGTAAGACCCCACCTCCACCCCCATCCCCAGGAGTCCTGGAGCTTTGCTGTCAAAAGATGCCTCTGGCTGCAGTGGGGAGGGTTATCAAGTCGCCTTTGGAGGCCTGGGTGGAACTAACTCAGTGCCTGAGGTCCATTGCTCCTTACTCCCTAACAGTATACCTCCAAGCTCCACCATCCCCACCCTCAACAATGACTGTGCCCTGTCTCTCTCAGCAGCTCCAGGTTACTGATGTTGTTAGTGTCCATAATGGGAGGACCACACAGAAGTCCTACCTAGCAAGCCTGGGCTCCCTCGCTCCCTGAGGGCCACAGTGGACACATATATGTTTTACCCAAGTCCAGAGACTTTTGACAGTAGAATATTACTCAGAGTCAAGATCACTGATAGCAGTACCACCATCTCCTCCAACCACAAGCCTAGGCTGACCTGGCCAACCATGCTCCATAGTCAACCACCGGAGACCTTCTTGGAACACTTCTTCTCACCCTCTCCTACTGTATATCCCATAGTATTCCTACAAGCATGGCTAACTCCTCTACTGGGCTGGTACTCTCATGAGAGACAGCAGACCCAGCTTGAGGGTGCTAGGGTGGCCCTAGCCTGGCACAGGGCAGGATCTAGGGAGTTTCTCAGAGGTTGCCTACTGGGCAGGTGGGTACAGGGAAGTGGGTAGTTGAGGATTACCAACAGACCTGGACACTTAGCCATCCCTAGCTACAGACTAGGGAAGCCTATTGAACCCCTCCCCCATAACCTCGTAGCAGTCCCGCCTGGCCCATCTCCTTGTCACCCCATCACACACCAGTCTCTCTAGGACTCTAGGGACATTCCATGATCTCTTTAAAATGTTATCATATGCCCTGCACTTAAACTTGTCATGGGAGATTTAAGGCTCCAGACAAGTCTAATGACATCATTAATTTGCTTCTACCCCAGCCCTGGCTCAAACCCAGGCCTCATCCTTGGCATGGGGCCAAGGCCCGTCAGCATGAGCCACACAGAGAGTGTTAGCCAGTGGCTAGGAAGTCCAGGGGAAGCTGAATGTCCAGCCCTGCTTCTTCATGGTTTTGAAATTTTGCTCTCTTTCTTGCCCTTATAAATAGCTTCAGCCCCCTGGGGAATCTTTTTTGGGTGTGCTTTGTGGACCGAAAGCATAGCAGGAAGGAAGAAAGAGCACTTGCCCACAGGTCCCATAATTCATGGGAGAAGGAGGGGAATGAGACCTCTGTCTTCGGGTCTCTCTGCTGGTTCTGATGACCATCTGTCATCTCTGGAGGTCACCCTTCTCTAGTAGCCTGTGACATCACATGGGAAAGGGACAGTGCAGGGTGAGGTGTATAACTCCGTATTTCCACAGTGCCTTACTGCGCTAGCATCTTTCAAAGCTGGTCTCATTTGAATCCATGCAATAAGCCATGCGTGTTCCCCTATTACCAATGAGGAATGTGAGACTCAGAGAGACCATAACCTAGTGGAGCACCGAGCAAGGAAAGAGGGATGGCACCCAAGCTGCCCTGGCTGTGGGACTGCAGGACCTGGGCTCATCACCACTCTTCCTCGGCTGTCGCTCAACCCGCTCATCAAGCCACTTGCTCACTGACTAAACAAACACTTTGTGTAATAAAGCATGGCCTCCTATCCTCTCCCATACCCCGTAAATGGGGAGAGGCCTTTGAGAGGCATGTTCCAGAAACAGCCCTTCTAGTCATGGCCTGGCTGTTCTCCACCCTGACTTCAAATTCTCTAGCATCTCCTGTAACTGCATCAAGTCGAGGGTGACCTATCCCATCGGGGCTGCCAGTCATCCCTTCCAGTGTGGAGAAGCGTAAGCACACAGTTCCTTTGTTTGTCTACCTGCCAAACCAGCAGTCTCTGGGTGCCAGCTCTGGACAGGCCTAGGCATGAGCAGGGCTGCTGCGTACATTGTACACACTGTGCATGGCTCGCTTTGAGACAATCACATCACTTCCATCTTCATCCCAGAGCAGTGAGTCTGGCCTCTCTGATGACGGAGCCGTACTGTGCAAGTGCGTTTACCACCCATTTCACCCACGGGTCCTTGGCCAGCATACCAGAGGCAGGTTCAGTCTCTGTTAACTCCCCACCTTCCCCAGAAAGAACGTTGACAACTCAACAGTGGCTGTTAAAAAAAAAAAAAAAAGTCATGTAACTGGGCTAATAATTGGCTCTTCTGAATGACTAAGATCTCTAGGAAATTGGTATCTTCAGGCTCTATCCCCCTCATCCTTAGTCAGGACTGGTATTTTGTGCTTTGTGCTTGGGTAGAAGACAGTGAGAAGTGGAAGATGTTCTATGGGCAGGAGCTTGGAGGATGTTATGATATGGGTGGATGGAGAGAAAAGACAGTGTGTTTTGATCTATTCTCTTAGTTTCCGCAGCAGCCCCGGTGCACATGTCGGAGGAGATGGTCCTAGAGTGCCTAGTCCTGCCATCCAAGCCAAATAGATGAAGCGATAAGAACACAGCAATCCAGAAGGGATAATGCAATCTTACATTCAAGGTGTAGGCATCTTCCTATAGCTTGTATCAGGAAGATGCGCCGATAGGCATCTTCCTTGAGTAGGCCCTGGGGACTTGGAATGACGTAACTTCATCCTTGAACTCAGGGATCCCTCTGCCTAGTTCGGAAGCACATCAGCAAATCTGGATCTCAGGCTGGATGCAGAGAAGAGTGAGGGTAAAGGACCCAGGGAGTAAGGATGAACAATCCCTAGGCAGCTTATCCCACAAGCATTCGCCTGGAGGGAACTGTGATCCTGGAATTGTTATCAGGAAAAGACAAAGATCTGGAAGGGTGAAGCCTGAATGGCAGGTAGCAGCTCAGACATGGGAAGAGCCGTAAGTGCGTCCCTGCTCACCTCTGTAGAGCAGAGGGCGGTGTGCAGCCACAGCAGTGCCCATCATCTGGTTTGGTTCCTCCCATCACATTAGTCCTTCCTATGAATGAGAGCCAGGGCTCGGCGACGTGGCGTCGCATCAGAACTGAATCCAAAGCTCCACTCTCCCTAACCCCTAAGCTCTCTGGCCTTCTTGCCACACCTGTCATCTACCCCCTCTTGCTGAACTGGGTTCCTTGTTCAGGTCATGCTGGGCTCAGGGCTGAGGAAAGAACATAAGGAACTCAGCATGGCCGCAGCCTCCTGTGATGTAGGTGGGCCTTCTGTCTAGATTATTAGATATGGATTAGTCAAGATGTAAGAGTTAGCTAATAAGAGGCCAGAGCTAAATGGCCAGGCAGTGTTTAAAAGAATACAGTTTCCGTGTAATTATTTCAGGTGTAAACTAGCCGGGAGCTGGGCAGCGGGAAGGCAGCCCACTGCTCCTTCAACACTCCTGGGTCCCAACCTCTAAAGAAATATCAGGCAGGCATCTTACAGGGCGTACGGCTGGGCTATGATTGCCCTAGCTGTGGCACACACATCTCTGGATTGTTCCCTCTCGGCCCTGCTTCACATGGAAAACTGGAACAATGCTCGTCTTTGAGGGTTTGAGGGTTGATGAAACAGGAAGCACAGAGCCTGCTGTGGGGCCTCAGCAGGGAGGGAAATTGCCAGTCCCACCTGGACCTTGTGTTTATCTGACATGTGCCCTGCTCCGTCAAGACCTGAAGGTGACTTCTGTCTTACCATTGCAGCTCCCCAATTTCATCAACACCACCCTCCCACCTCATGAGCAGGTGACAGCCCAGGAGATTGACAGCTACTTCCGCCAGGAGCTCATCTACAAGAGGAATGAGCGCATGGGGAGGAGAGTCATGGCGCTGCTGCAGGAGAACCAGGACAAGATCTGCTTCTTTGCCTTCGGAGCAGGTTTGGCCCCGATCTTCTCTCATTGAGGGAAAAGCTGAGGCCCAGAAGAGGTCAGGCTAGGTACCTAGGAGCAGAGCTGGGACCCTAGTACTTCCCCAGTTTCTGACCAACTATTCTCTTATAGCATCGTCCTTAGCAAGGGAAACAACCCCTGCCCCATCCATGGTAACTCTACAGCCCCTTTGAGTGCCAGGTGAACTTAGGAAAGCCCCAAACAATCCTCCCATCCAGCCTGGACCCACCCCACCTAGAACCAGGGCTGATCAGAAGGGTCCTGTGGCCTCAGGGGTGAGGGAGATGGACTTTGACAGCCCACAGTTCTGACTCCACCTCCAACCAGGTCATGTGTCATGCCACCCTGTCTGGTACTTTCCCAAGGGTCCAATTTTCTCTTCTGTTAATGGAAAGGATAGCAGTAACTATTAGATGAATTAAAAGTGTCTGTGTTGTCGGGCAGTTATAAGGATGTGTGACATTTAAATAACCTGCCATATGACAGGAATCCAGAATGGCAGCTACAGTCATCATCATCATCATCACCATCATCACCATTATAATGAACTTAAGCATCACCATGGCAACACAGGGAATGCACTAAATGTTTCTGGGGATCTTTCTTCTGCTGCAATGGGAACTAAATATGTTTACACATGGTTCCTTGGGGTCCGCATTCATTCTCTGCTCCCCCTCACCCTTTCTGCCTTTTTCTGTGGTTGTCTCTGATGGCTGCATTGGGGCCAGGATAGTGAATTTGAGTTCTTTGTTAGTCAGCTTTTGCTCAGTGATTTACAGTAACGTTTACTTCTTGCCACTTGAATGCTGGGAATCCACCTATGTTTTATAAAAATTAAGAGGTATCTTACAGTTGAGTGTGATGATGTACATACATAATCCAAGCACTCTAGAGACAGAGGCAGGCAAGGTCTCCGAGGCCACCCTGGTCTACCTAGATAGTTCAAGGCCAGCCAGGCATGTAGTAAGACCCTGCCTCAAACAGACGGGATGGAAGCTTTTAGATATGTCCATCATTCCGCTGCTCTGGCCTCTCTTTCTGTGGCCTTTACTATCTAAGCCAAGAAGTCCATCCAATCCACAAGGGCCCCTCTGGACATCCTGACTTTGAATGGGGCTGTTTACTATCTGTCTCTGTGTCTCCCCTACCCCCATTCAGCTCCAAGTATGTCGAGGGCATGTGCCAGGGGTGTATTTATACAGGCTGTTCTTCCCCCTCCTGAACCCCTATTGCGGCAGTGAGGCTGGTAGGAGGAGCTCAGTCCTAGATGCAGGCCCTTTGAAGACGGCTCATTAAGGGCACAGAAGCTGCACAAAAAGCACTCTGCATTCACACTGGCTCTGCTATGGCCCACTGTGACCTCCAGCAAGTCTCCTCTCTTACAACCTCAGTTTACTCTCTTAGACAGGAGGGGCTGGCTTCGGCTTGAGCTGTCTCAGATTGCAAGCTGTCTTCTGCACAGGATTCTGGCACGAGTGTAGGAGACAGATGGGGTCTCACAGGGGATCTAGAAGGACCTCCTGGAAGAGCCTACGGGAACAAAACCTGAACTAATACATGGAGATGGGAGGACCACTCTTCCTCTTGCAGGATATATGCAGGGGGCCTGTTGTGAGCCAGGGAGCTGTGAGCATCTGTGCGAGGAAGCGACCCCCAACACCTCTCCTCTCACTACACAGCTGCCTCTGGGCAGTGATTCTGCACCACATGACCTTAGTTGACTGGAAAAGGGCAGCCAATGAAGTCACCTAGCTCCCTGGTTCCTCAGACTTGCAAGACCCTCCAGAGAGCGCAGTCACTGAGGGAGGCCAGTGAGAGAGCAGGATGCCCCTCCAGAAAGGGGCCAGGATGCAGGTCTAAGCTTACCCAGAGCCTAATGGTCTTACAGCACCAACTCTCTCCTGTAACTGAGAAAGCCAAGAGCCTAAGGAGGCAGAACACAGACCCCGTCTCAAGCACACGGGGCACAATGATCCACTCAAGCACCTTTTCAAGCTAAAGCATCCTGCAACAAATTGGTGGAGACAGATGCATAAGGGGATCGCCGAGTCCTTACTCAGCAACACTAAAAGCTGATAACTGGGTTTAACCCTACATTCATCCACATTGCTTTTATATAGGAAGAAGCTTGGCATCATAAAAGAAATGAGGGACAAGGTGCTGCCAAGTTCAAGGCGACTTTTGTGGCCCTTTTAAAGCCTCATTACCTAAGTAAGGAGACTGGGACTGCTGGTTGGTATGTGAAGAGGTAGGGTTGGAGGAATGGAGCAAGAGGAGAGAGTTTGCCTCCAGGCAGAAGAGGGTACCTCCTCACCTAAAGTGTGAATGAGCAGGTAGCTGATGGCTTCTAACCAGGTAGACTTTTTCTGCTGGAAGGTGAAGTTGAGAAGAAAGATAAAGGGCTCATAAAGGGCTCTTGGTTTGAAGAGGGGAAAGCATTTGATATGAATGCAAGAGAGACTGATCACAAACTTGACCAGCACCGGAAGTTAGAGTAGACTTAACTCGAGCCATTTGTGGTTGACTGCCAGTAGATGCCTAGAGTGTGGTGCTGGAAAGAGCTCATCAGAGCCCAGCAAAGCAAAGCCCTGGCTGACCCATTATGTCTGCTGAGGACCAGGATTCCAGCAGGTGCCTGCCAGGTACTTGCTCACTCTGCTGGCAATGAAAGCCCATAACTCTGTGGAATTGTAAGTGTTTTCTCGAGCAACACCCAACAGCTAAGATTTAAAGATGGACACTTTACCCGGCTGCCTCTTGATTTTGCCTGCACAGTCCCTGCCTTGCGACCACCCCGTGTGTGTGAACAGTACCACGACAGGACCCACAGTCTCAAAATTGCTAACACCTGGAAGATTTTGCACAAAGACCTGGTGAACCAAATCATACAGAACTAAGTATATTCCATTCAGTGCCCAGGGTCTATCATGGGTGAGGGAGGCTTACTAGGCACTAGGAGGAAATGGCGATTTTATCCTCCATTCTAGGGAAATAGATTTTCTCAGGATGTTTATCTGTTCGGCTATCCAAGGATCTTGTAGCATCTTCTTTTCAATAATGTGTGATTCAGGAACCAGAGGAGCTGAGTTGGAAGCATGGGTCACCGCAGATTAGAGTGGAGTGGAAGGACAGATAACTCTAGGGCCCCTTCATTTCTAACTCCAACAGTCAAAAGTTATCAGTGTCTGTGGCCCTAGCACACTCTAATCTGAGTAAAATCTTAAACTTCTGACACCCCACAATCCTTGAACCCCAGCATTCTATTGGTCTGATTGCCTGGTCTCAATATTTTGGCTCTCTAGGCTCACAGTATTTCAACATTCCAGCATGGTTTTTGTTTCAATTGCTCTTGGAGACTTGGGAGTTGTACGGAGCCTTGCAGAACCTGTACATGCCACAAGGGGCAAAGTCTAGACAGAAAGATGGCAGGCAGAGTCGGAGACACAAATCTGTTACTCTGAGTGTTGGGACATTCAGGACACTCAGCCTTCAGGTTGAGGAAGGGCATTCAAAAAAAAAAAAAAACACTTATGGGCCTGAGGCAGAAACACACTAGTGATAAAGATTTAAACTTGATAGAAAGGAAAGATATAAGCCCATCATACTGAGCCAAGAGCACACTTTAGCTAAAGACATTTAGCATTGACAGAGCTATAACTCAAAGATTTGCCTAGCATTAATTCAGCACCACCAAAACTGAATGAATGAATGACTGAATGAAGCAACTACTTTCCGTAGAAGGCACACTGTTCTGTTTGACAATCCATTTATACAGCCCCCACACTCAGGGCTTCCTGTAAGGACAAGATATTCCTTCAGTTCCATTTGGCAGACCAGTAAGTGGACATGCATGCAGGAAGCAAGGGAGCCTCAGAGCTCTAGTGAGGTGATGGTAATGACTCTTCCTTGTGGCTAAGCTCCCCAAAGCATCACCCAGCTGCTTGAGCTCTCTGACTTAAGCTCCCACAGTGTCCTGGAACTTCCGTCCTCACACTTTGCTAACACAGCACACTGTCATCTCTTAGTCCAAGTTACACCCCCAGAACTCAGAAGATGCCCATCCTCAGTTGATAAATGAATAAATGGATGAATTAATTAATTAATGAGATGACTCTGGGGTATGTAATAAGTACTTCTATGTTACCCCAAGCAAAATTTTTCTCAGAATCTAAGTCTTCTGTCCCCATGGTAGGGATTAGGGGTTTTGGCAACATTGTATCACCTTTTGGATGGTGAGACTACAGTAACAAATAAAAGACCTGAGAGCTCACTAGAAAAAGAGCCCTAGGTTCTGCTGAGCAAACCACACAGGCTGAGGCAAGAGACAGAAGCAGGGTTTCAGGGGGGAAAGGGGAGGAGGCAGCAAATGGCAAGAAAGAGAAAAAGTAAGAAAAGGAAAAGTGAGGAAAGTAAGCCACAAGAGTTAAGTCCAGGCAATGAGGGTGGGAAAGGGAAACAGCTTGGTGCCATGGAAACAGCTTGCCTTCTGCGATATTCCTATAGTCTTCTCTCGGAGTCGTTCCCACTCCATCTGCACAGCAAGGGATCCACAGGAGGCGAGGTGTGAGGTTCCTTCCAGACGCTGCATCCCACATCCCATACTTGTTGGCAGAGGCTGACTCAGAGAAGGTTTCCTGGGGAAGGTGGGAGCCAGCTGAAATGTCCCCATGCAAGCCCAGAGGCCTTCCAGCTTTTCACATCAACCCCCTAGTCCTCAAGAAGCGATCCATCCTTCCCTGCACTTGCTCTTGCTTCTCTGCTCACTGCCTTCGGAAGAGATGCCCCTGGGAGCTTTCAGATGGCCCAAGCACAGCCAGAGTCTAGAATAGAGGCTGCCCTCCCAATAGTTTCTTCCCCTCCCCCGTGGCATCTATGTCCGTCCTGCTCCCCGAGGACAAGCATGAGGATAAACCTTCCAGAAGTGCTTCAGAATTTCCAGCACTGCTAAAAGAACGCTGTCACCACACAACTCATGCATCTAGAAACT